TTCTGGTTTGTATTAGACTATGAACGCGGCTGCCTGTCACTTGCAAGCAGAACCGATGCACATCTTAAGAAATGGTCTTTTGGATGCGTGGAGTAGAATGGCATGTTCCGTTGGTTTGGCTGATGACTTTCTAGCCGAATTTCTTAATCGGGATGTTACGACCAACGTACTGCAGAGGAATGAATTGTCATGGGAGTTTACGTATCGTAGAACAGCTACCACGTGTTTATTTAAGCCAGAGATCATGCTAACCTTGGTCTTAACCTTCCGCTGTGTTGGTTTCCATGAAATTATCTGGACACACCCCTCACAACTACACTTATGCAATGCAGTTTCTCAAAGAGTTTGTTCGATCGTTTTCATTCTTTACTTTTGACCGTTATGCAAATGTCAATTTCTGTTCTCTCCTCGGCAGCGGTAAGTTATGGAGCTTTGTCTCACTGTGAGGTACTCATCCAACACTCCCGATTAGACTGTAGAAAATATTTTTACTCTCTTAGAATCTGTTCACAATGGAATGACTTGCCAACGCATGTGGTAAACGCTCCAAACATTACAGCCTTCAAACAATTGTTAGACATTCATCTGAGTGACAGACAACACATTGTGGTGTGATGTACTAGGTTTGGACTATTGGCATTTCAGTTCCATGTCGGAATCTAATGATTTTTATTTATTTTGCACTTACCATCCTATGGGTCTTGTAAAGCCAATGCTTTTTATCCCATCATACACTATTGAACTATTGTACTGATAAGGTGAGAAGCATAATTGTGTATGATTGACTTGGAAACAATCGTTTTTTACTTCTCCCTGATACAGGCACTGCCAACACTTCAACTAGGCGCGTCACAATCGATCGAAGCCGTTGACTCGGATGCGCGAAACTGCTTTATGCACTCGAAAATGAATCATCCACACACTGAGACCTTATTAATCGAAGCGCCTTCGGCTTTGACGCAACTGACAGAATGTCGCATCCATTTAACTCCGGACATAGACCAAGGGATATCGCAATGACTACTCACCTGTCACGATTCAGCACCATACTTAACCGCAGGCCATTGTGTGTGGGTCGACATGTTACCGCGTCGCCAGAGCCTACATCCATCGGTCAGTAGATGTGTCGATTCCGCGAAAGCATATAAAACTACCTGTCTCTGGAGAAAGGCCTACACAACACAAATCAGTTGTAAAGCTCAAAAAGTTGCTCAAGGCGCATCGTAAATCCAATGACTTCTGTTTCTTAATAAAGCACCAGCAATTGGTTACTATTAAGGAGAATGCCAATCAGGCCATGCTGATTGATAAAGAAAAGCAAGCACTCGGTAGCCAAAATAGAAAACAGGAACTATTCAGATTGCTTAAGCGCAAGACCGCTAAACAGAACCTAGATGTTATCTCGCTTATGTCTGCAGATAAATGCTTAGTGAGTGACCCGACTTATACCAGCGAAATGTTCAACAACTACTTTGCTGCCTCGTTTAATGAATGTAGTGATCCTGCGACCCTGGATCTGCAACATCACACGAATGATCAACTCAGCAACATCACATTCAATCTGTGTGATATCCAAAAGCTCATAAAGTCCACTAAAACCTCCTAGTTCACTGGTCCGGACAATCTCCCATCTGCTGTCATAAAATTCGGGGGCGATGACATCCCCTTGCTGCTACTGAATATGTTCACCTTATCTATGAATTCTGGTATCATACCGGCTCAGTGGAAGGAGGCCATAGTGATGCCCCGTCATAAATCAGGTTCACTGTACGACGTAAAAAACTACCGACCGATTAGTCACACATCAGTATTGTCTAAAATGATGGAGCGACATGTAAAGTCGAAAACGCTTGAATTCCTATTAACTCGAAACTTAGTAAACAATTCACAGTATGGATTCCTGAACTCCAGGTCCTGCATCACTTGTCACTTAGAATTTTTAAATCACCTTGTCAGTTCACACGATCGTGGCTTATCGACAATCGTCATCTATCTCGACATGCAAAAAGCTTTCGATCGCGTACCTCATAGTCGCCTACTAGCTAAGCTCCAAACCTACGGTATAAAGGACCCCTCACTGGCTTGGTTTAGCCCATATCTCTCAGATCGCTCCCAGATAGTACAAATCCAACAACATAAATCTCAACCCAAGGCTGTTACCAGTGGGGTGGTACAAGGCAGTGTTCTTGGTCCATTGCTATTTCTACTTTACGTTAACGACGTCTTCAGTGTAGTTAAATGCGGCACACCTTATCTTTTCGCCGATGACATCAAAATAGTGTACTCCTTCCATCCTACCAACCTCAGCAATACTCTAAAGGAAATCCAACTGGACCTCCATGCGCTTGAGGCTTGGTGCAACACATGGAAAATGTCTTTCAGCACTGACAAATGTAGCGCGATGTTATACAGGTGCAATGTTAAGCACAATGCTCTGACCTTAGATAGCAAACCACTTACTATCTGTCAGACCATCTGTGACCTAGGGCTTCGCTACTCATATTCCCTTAACTTCTCAGAACAAGCATTTTATGCAACAGCCAGAGCTAAACAACGCATTGTATTACTATTCAAAAATCTTACTCTACGAGATTCAATTTGTTCAATGTATGAATCATTCGCCCGCCCTTTACTTGAATATTGCTCAATGGTGTATAGCAATTCCAGGAAGCATGATCGTATCGCCATAGAAAAGGCACAAGGAGCGTTTACAAAGCGCCTTATTGGTACGAGCTTAGTGTTACCCTATTCTGAGCGATGCGACCTACTTAAGCTTGACCCAATATGGCTTCGACGCCTAAAAGTAAACTTAGAACTTTTTTTCAATATCCTGCACAAAAATGTCCACACACCTAGCATTGATCTATCACTCATGAAATCAAATGGATACAATACACGCAATAGAGAAAATTCTGTGATGGTAAGAAGGTCAAAGACAAACATATCAGCAAACGTTTTTCTAAATCGGTACTCCCGTATCTGGAACAAATTGCCGACCGATATTCGCACTAGCACATCTGAGTATAACTTTCGTAGAAAGCTTGACGAATATCTTACAGTCAGCAATGTGATTATGCTCCTGCGCTGCCCTACAACTATTCAACAAACGTATGAACAAGGTCCAGACAACATATAACTGAAAGTTGCAAATGACTGTATCAGTCAGATCAACAAACACCCGTCGATTCCCTGCTTACCCTTCTCTTTTATTGCCCACTCCGGATCTGCCTTCCCGAAAGCTCACCGCTGATTAGTGGCTCCACTGATACATCGATGGGTTGGGGGTCCAGGCTTCTGTTATCCTCTTCATCCCATCTTGGCTCACTATACTTCCCCTTGATTTTACTTGGCTCCACTGCAACCATGTGTCAGTTGAATCACTGGCAACTTGGTTAGCTGGACTCCCAAATCCGGTTAACTGTCTCTCCAATCGTAACTTCACTTCCGTTTCACCCGCTGGCACACCTACCATTCGTTTGTGAAAGCACTGACGCTTTGGTAGGTAAAGCACCCGGATCCTTTCTTTACATCTTCAACCCACCTTGCTCCCCAACACTTAGCTTCGGTTTTCACTTGACCATATCTTGCTGGTGAATCAACCGACACATTGTCAACATCGATATGTTTGCCACTCAGGACTACTGTAACCTCGTAAACATATCACTGGCGTTCTGTTGGACCAATTCCCAGCATAATCAAACTCCTAGCGCAGTTAGCCAAACTACTAAAGGTTCGGCATTCTTGTTCACAGCCCACAACCCACACATCTTAAGTAATCCGAAATCCGTATTGCGCCTCCTAATTGTAAACAACACCTGCAATACAATAATAAGGTAGTTGCTTAAATATTTCCCTTTTTCACTGTGCAGTAATGTGGACTTATTTTCCCTGTTAGCCAGACCCATACTGCTGTTTCTTATGTTGAGTCCAGAAATTTTGTTGCGAGACCCTCCCCACACTATATTATTCTCGATTCCACACATGTACATAATTCCCTAGGAAGTTTTCGACCTCCATCGCACTAATACTTACTAATACTTGCTGTTTCCCTTCTATTTACGTTGATCCGGACCACAACTCGTTCAACGGTACGATGAGATACTTGCTACCGAAGAAAGTTGGATCTGCATAAGAATAAACTACAACTTGAATCCAATCCCACTCAATATGAATCTCCTCGCATCCGATAAACAATTTCAGTTTCAGAGAAAACTTGTACATAATGATCGGTCCAGGGTCTCTGGAACGTGTCTCCCCTTTCTGAGAAATATACCTATTATTATTATTATTATTATTATTACATATAAGTGAACAAACTTACTGAAGAGGTATCGAAGGCTTGCGTTCACCTGCACACAAGTGTGATTTACTTGTAGAACGGTTTGCAGTGCGTCATGCATCCTCTCACTTTCCGCGCCACATTCTTGCTGGTCAAAAGGAATGGTGCTGTGCTCTCCATGCTATTGCATACCCTTAATTGTTCCATATACCTTACGATATGAGTGTTATCGGCACTCAGTGTATTCGATGAAACTTCTATATTCGTTTAGGGTGAACCACAATTTTCCATGTTTTCCGCCTCTTGCTTAATGATTTGGCACATTTAGATGACCCATTCTTACCGATTGTTGTGTGTGGCTTACCTCTGTTTCCTGTGAATCATTCATCATCATTACTTTCTTCCTCTATGGGCCGACGTACTCCTTATGGTATCTAACATATATTTTGTGTGCGACATAACTTCATAGGGTAACGGACAAAGCACTTGTTGACTTACGTGAATCACGAATGACACGAACAGAATACAAAGAAAAGCCAAAACGGTGGCCCTCGGATGGATCCAGTTTACACCGGGGTAGACCTGACCAACTGCTACCGGCCCAGTTCCGTCTGTTGCCCAGAAAATGTAGCTGAACACAGCGTATATTAAGCCTCCAAGCAAGGAGTATACCACGTGCATCAGCCGAAATGGAATCGCTGACAGTGCAACATCCAACAGGACCAAAGCAGCCGTCAACGAATGTTTCAACCTTCCCCAAAAACTGCTAAATATACCTGTGAAATAAACGGTGCATCATTTGTACTTAACACAGTGCCGATAAGTTGCGAGGTGCACAAGTAACCGACTCGTTTGATATGTGACTGACTCGAATATGGAATAAACACAGGGCACATTTTTCAAACTTGACGGTAGATATCCGTATACACTGCTGTCAAGCCGCATGACAACTAGCGCTCCGTCTGGACAAGTGAAAAAATTTTAAACAGTCAAAAAATATTTTCCACTTTGAACGAGCATCTGGAATTTCATCTCTTCTCTATAAACTCTAAGGGTGTGTTTGTCTTTATTCGCGGATTCGCAGTGGGCTCAACTTTCGAAGACCTATCTGAATTCGCCCAATTTGTGACATAGGCGACACTAAAATTTACTTGGAGCGTCTTCTTTCCACATTTCCAGTTGGTTGTAAAATCTACCACTGACAAATTTGAATTTTTCAGTGTATAACTGTTGGAAGTTTGACGACGTTGTGATTGCCGAAATTAAGTTAAACCTAATCAAAAATCCCCTACTCATGAGTACATCGAAATATACCTGCCCTGACAGTTTCTAAATGCTATGTCGTACATAGCTACTGTTAGTGGACGTCGTGTCTTTCGGGGCCAACCCTGTCCTCTGCAACGTTCGTAACTTGCATGGCAGTGGAGGATAAGACGCGCTAAATCGCAGTTAGCTTGTAAATCATGGCGATCCGAAGCTGTCCCCCGTGGCCCAGTGGCATAAGCTGCTGACTGGCGGTTCAAGCCGCTGGTGGTCATAGGTCCAAATCCTGATGGATCCGATGGATGCGCATTACTGATGATGCCCAACAGGCTGAAACTGCAGTCTAGTGCTTTTCCGGGCATGTGGACGACTATCTGCTTTGGAAACTGGCTGAGAAGAACATCACTTAATTAAACCTAATCATTTGGATTATTCTCTACCCGAGCCAACATTACCACAGTGCTCAAAACGATACGCTTGACGTTTATCCGGTTGGAAGTTGAATCAGCTGCAACCACTGGCTTAAACCTGAACCGGTTTGGTTTTTAAACTCGGTTTCGGATAGGCTAGGTTGATGACTCAGTTCGAAATGCTGTTGATCTAATTCACATATCCTATCAGATGCTGTTACACAAAAAAAACATTCTAGGCTTTCGGAGTACTGATACAGTCAATTTACGCGTGGGTATATCAAGTAGTTAGAGTCCGGTGACTCGCTTCGTTTGATTCCTCTGTTCCTCCTGACTGAATCGACTAAAGTACGAGTGTTTCATTCTGTCTATAAATCGAGCTATCTGATTTCTGTTTTCTAAATCGTAGAATCACCGGGGCTTTTTCGTAACTTATTATCTGTCCACACGTGATTGCTATCTTCACATTGTCTGTCGGATGAGTAAGAAAACATTACAAAGACGAGAGCCATAATCCTTGTATTACTGCACCGTCTGTAAAATTGCGGTAACCCGTTTGTAATTAGGTCGCGTAGCTTGTTCAATAGAAGGTGAATCTGCACATAGAAGCTACTCATCAAGCCCAAACTCCATAAGGGTCTGAGACAGTGCTCGACTGAGGCCACCTTCCTATCCGGGACTGTGCATGGTCCAAACCAACGCCGGTAGAGGGCGAATAAAATCACCATTGCATTATTCGATGGCGTGAGATTGCCCGGTGTAACACTACAACGATACACGAAACGTCACTGCGATCTAACTATCGATCGCTTTTCGAATTGTCTGGTCGTATTTCGTAGAGAGCTAGATCACCATAATTTGTCGGTTGCAAATAAAGACTACTCATGGGTTGCAAAGCGTAACCCATCTATTCTTTCCGAGATGCGTCGAAAGGGAGCTGCAGCTATTTTTGGGATACAGCATGCTCGTCGCAAATCCGACATCTACCGTCTGGATATGAGAGTTTCTCAGATTACATCATTTACGATTTCGGTCGTTCTCACAATGGCTGATGCTTTTAATTGCTCTCGGGTTTGAAATTTTTATCCATCTTACTTTTGATTTTGCCAGTGTATTTTCACCGTTATGATCACCGCTCATTAACAACGAGGTGATAAGTTCCGTGTTTGATTCCCGGTTGTCTTGACTGTTTACTTTTCTGTGGATGCTCTGGTGACCATGCACCTCAACTTTGCTATTTGCGATGTGAACAAAGCTAGCGTAGTGGTTTACTCAGTGACCATTTAAATGAATGTTCATAATTCGCTAATAAGCACATTTGTTGGATCCATCGTGAATGCCTTCGGCTTACGTCTAATGGTTGTAATTTTATTTGTTCAATGTACCTGGTCTTGTATAGTTCCAGCTTGAGATTCTAACAATCGATGATAAGAAATTCGTGCGTTTGTTCACGGCAATTGCTTTGGGCTTGCACTTCACTCCTTCAAAGACCAACGATTTATCTTCCTACCTGGTTGAGTTGTATCGAGCCCCCTAAGCAATTCTCCACTCGACACTGCAAGCAAAGTGACGACTGCGCTGTGATGGCTATTCAGGCAGCATATTGTAGACGAAGAGATCAAAAGCAGCTCAAACAGTCACAAACCCAGTGTAACGCAGGATGACTCGTTGAGCCCCTCCACACACACCCAAAAGGATCCCCTTCGGCTAAAGGTATCTTGCGCGTACCCACTGGGTTTTGGCAAAGAGTTACTTCACGTCAATACCTTGCTCGATTTCACAAAAACAGTTTAGTCAAATAGAAGGGCTGTTAGTTTCTTGTGTAAGTGCGAGTACTCTGCTCAGATTTTTGGTGGTATTTAGAGCGCCCTTGCAATTACCGCACTCAAAATGACCCGAGGTGCATTTCTTTATATCATGCAACGGTTATTAGTAGAATTTTCTATACTTATGGACAGAGCTACTTGTTACGCGAAAATACCTTTTAGGGAAGCATAGGTAAACATATTAAAGAGATAACGATGAACATTTCTATGTTCAAGTAGTTCGTTGCGTGACACACTGAATCACAGTGACACTCAAGCTAGGAAACGAATATACGGTACCAGCTTAGTCGTTTAATTGAGCCAAGATGCTTTATGCTCCCACGACACGTTCGTCCTTTCTGTTCTCTTTGTCCACCGCCCCAAGGCAAATGGGCTTACACCCACAGCTTCAGCTGCGGCAATCGGCGGTTGGCTGCAGTAGAGGCTGGTAGAGGCATTTCCAGTGAGCCTTGCTCTCAGTATATCATTTCGCGACTAGATTTGTACGTAAGCTGACCATTTAAAGCTGCGATATGGTTGTTGTGATTCGTAGGCTAGGCCTGTTGGCGGCCGACTAACCCGATGATCCATGACCTCTGTGTGACAACAGTCGAGAATTCAAGCTGAGTCCGTATCCGAATCGTACTAGAGTATACCGCAATGTATTTCTTCGAAACAAAATAAACCCACAGTCAGCAAACTCCTAGTTGTTTCTGTGAATAGGCTCATTCCAAGCAGCAAGAATGGCTGCCAGCACATTACATGTGATGCAGGTTCGTATCTGCATACTAATATTTACTAGCCGTACAACTGGCAACGTATAAATTGAATCTTAGTGAAAACACTATTTCAGTCGCTGTAACGTTATAAATATACAAATTTATTTACTTGTTTGCGTAAACATTGAGGACAGATACATCATTTTGGGTCCGAGCATAACAGGAGTTACGCTAATTCACATAATGTCTCACATTTGTACCTTGCTACCCCAGCGATTTGTTAGTCACAGAGATGTCACGAATTGCTTTGTGATCACATTTTTCCATCTGTGACAAGCGTTGGTATATTTCGTATTAGTTCCAAAATGCTTACTTGGCCATAGGCAAGCATAGGTGGTAAGGGATGTGCATCAATGACTCACCGAGATTGCTGTTCGACAGGGCAACCCAAAATACAAGGCAAACAACGATCGTCCCGTTTGTCGCCACTGTGTAGAGCAGCCATATCGGCTGGAACCATATGATCGTGGCATGTTCTCCTGGGAAAATAGATAAAACAAACAGCACTCGAATGTTACTACCCTAACAACTCCAGAAGTAACGTGACTATTGGTGGTCACGACACATAACAACTGCTCCAAGAGTGCATTCAAGCAGAGACCTTGTCTAATCTGGAAGTAGCGAAACTGCAACTACTGTACAGACACACTGGAGACGCGACCAAACACAGACAAAAGAGCAGCATCACCTTTATGAACTCGAAACACAGCTACACGCACATGCACCTTGTTTGCGGCATCCGTTTCCGCATTTGCCTGTCACTGCGTCCTCCATAGGACAGCCACAGGACGCCTGCGCCTACAGTGAGACGATGGGTGGCTTACGCTGCACCACCCACAGCTCCACCCACACCCCATATTCAGTGTAAACCCAAAGGAATAAGACCGGGAGACATGTGGATGGGAGCCGCGTTTCATCAACGGAGCGGGCCCACACTCCTTCACAGGCAAACACAAGCACGCTGTATTTGGGAATCAACCGCACACAAGGCGGTGGCGGGACCGTAGGTCGCTCCAAACTGAGTGCGTGGAACCAAGCTTCGAGCCTAGCACGGCCACGAAGACAGCGCACCCCGTCTCCCAACAATGATCAACTGTCTCCTGGAGCCAGTATCGAGGAGGTGGTGGGTAATAGACAGGTGGGCATGTTGTCAAGATATACATCAAGCGCAGCCACACCAGGGATGTCAAACAACAGACAAGCGCTTGGGATGACAATATCAAATAAAATAGATCGAATAAAGCATACGGATATGTCGACTTAACTACACTAAATTAGCATACGTAGTAAATTGGCTAGCAATAAATGCGCACTAAGTTCAAGAGGTTATAAAACGTATTTCCCTAAAAATGCCCCAAACGTGAAAATCTTAAGGAAGTTAACCACAATTAGCTTAAGCAACGTGTGTAAGTTAATAGGTTTTTCAGGGAAACGTTAATATGAGGTAAAAAGTAGTATGCATTGAGACAAGATAGCAAACCCACCACCTGACAGCAAAGAAATTCAGCGCGCAAGCACGCGGTTAGTAAATCGAATGCAGCGTATCTACCAACGCTGCGCCGGCTCTGCTTACGTTCTCAGCAGGACTCGCCGTCTTTTCTATGTTGGCCCCGAGTGGCCTCGCTCGTGACTCACAAGGCCTGTCTGACCCAGGCACCCTTGACCGCATGTGTTACAACACCATACGCTCGAGGTCGATGGAGTACAGCCCATCGGTGCCTGCTGCTTCCACACTTTCCGCTTCTTTACTGCATGCACGAGGGCTTTCTCTTGCAGCTCGGTAACTGACTTCGTGATCAGATCGTGCCGTGCACGTCAATCAACCGCCTTCCTTTCCCAACATCTGAAATCAATATTAGAGTGTGATAGGTTCGCCTTAATCATGTCCTGGTAACGAAACTTCAGTTACCCTATATGCCGTTTCCCCATACTCAGTTGACCGTATAACAGCTGCTTCGGTATCCGCGTCAAATTCACACGGCACACATGACCCAGCCACCTCAGGTGTCTCAATAAAAGTATAGAGTCCACTGCATACAATCCAGCACCTCCGTGTCTGCAACTGTGTCGCACCAACCAGTGCGCGGAATTTGTCGCATACGCGGTTGATGAAAACGCTCGAGAAATCTCACGTCTCGCCGGTATATCGTCCACGTTTCACTGCCGTATAGTGAAACGGACAGCACTCCGGATTTGTACACCATCAGCTTCTTCAGACGGTAAGCTGATGGTTATTCCGCACTCGGTACTCAAGCTTCCCGAATGCCACCGCTGCCTTCGATACGCGGATACGCAGCTCACTGTGTAGTTGCTGGTCAGTCGAAACAATCTCCCGCTTCTGCACATGCCCCTACACATTCATGGATCAATTTATGGGTCGATCACTTGCTGTACTCTTATCATGAGCATACCTGTGCAGGCGTTCTTCACGTAATCGCGAATAAACAATTTCTTTGTTTATGTAGACAAGTAAAGAGAGCAGAATTAGTCAGACTCGTGTTCAACACCCGAGTGCCATTCCAGAGAAGCTACAAATAACCGCAGCTCAGTAGCTTCTTGATTCTGAGGTACGCATACAAAAATGGGCTATTGTTCGGTCAAACTGAATAAATCAGGAACATAATTTTGCAAATCGCAATCCAGTTGATCAACCTGTGTTAAATTTTTTGAGTAAACAACTCAGGTTGAAGGTCTTCACTCAGCTACGAAGGTGAAGGAGCTTTGGAGCAGCCGACGCAAATAATAGCGCAAGCGGTATGGTTGGCGGTTTGGTAACTGTAATGTTAACGGTCACGGCACTGTTACGCTTTAAGGTACGAAACCGCTCACTCTCCTGTGAATAAGTGTTGGGCTTGAGCAATGTAAAGCATTTGTAACGGTTGGATTTCCTTAATTTTAGCTGATATCAATAGTAAATTGGGTGATTTGGTGACTGAGGTATATAAAACAATACAATGGGGTGTATTTATGAACATGTTTGTCTTAACATATATTGGGCCGCGGGAAGACTATTAGTGCTGAGGCGCTTGATTCGAATCACGAATAGCTAACGATTTTGTCATGCCCCATTCTCCTATTCGGTTTACAGCAGCCCATTTTGCCTGTCTCCGTTCAGCAGCTTATAAAGTGCATTTCTAAACGCTTCCCTTTTTAAAGAAATTGAGTTAAAGCATTAGACACAGGCTGCAGCATTTATCAGTTGCTGTTCACTATTGCTGAACACGAGGTAGAATATGTCCCAAAGATGCAAATCTATCAATGTGTAAACACAACACGCAAGACCACGGACAGAAATCGAAACCAGCAAAACACTCACTCGGAGGACAATTGTGAATTAGGCAGTAGATGGCCAACAGGAAGAAGGTGAGTGTAAGCAAGCCAAATGCCCAATTTGTGGCGTAGACAAACCAAATCTGAGTTCTGTCCGTGAAATAGGCATGGCTTTCTCGAGGGATGTCCATGGATATCCAAATCAAAAAGGCCACCGCGAGCAAAACGCGGTAGACGGTGAATAACCATGGCCTCATCCATTCCCACTGAAAGTGACAATGACAATTTGTAAGTGTACGCACATTCAAAAAAATCACAGAGGATTTTCGAAATGATATTTCTGACCGATTTACTTGTTGGCTGCAGCCTTCCGCCTCTAACTCACCTGGTGTTGGCTTGATGTTGTACGGCTCCGCCCTTATTTCCATACCTGGACATCACTTATTGTACGTCCCACCTCCCGCTGCAATATTAAATCCATCCACTTGAATGACATCATCGGTGCCGGAGCCAAGATGATTTTACATCGTGACATTTCTGTTGAAGAACTATAATCACAAGCTGCAAATCACACCGCCTACGTGGCAGCCTTATTATGGCCTACCAGATTCTAAGGAACCCCAACCACGTCTGTCGCCACCTACTACAACTGAGCCACAACACAAATTTGAGGAGCCACCAGTTCGAGTTAGTCACGTAATACAGTCGGCTATAATGTCGACGGAACTTATATTCTCTTCGCGTGTGTCAGCCATGGAACGCCAAAATTCCGTTGTTTCCGCCCCCACTTCACCTGTGCTTACAAAACGCCTTGACGTTGCCCTAACTCACTTACACTACGAGACATAGCCTGTGTGTCTCGACAGACGATATAGTGCGACGAAAAACGCATAACCAGAATTAACCTACACAAGTGAAGTTGGCCTTTTGTGCGTGCCTCTGTGTTAACACTATGATGAGTCCACAAAAGCCATTTTAATTTTATCTCTTTGTGTTCTATTCACCATACTGTGCTTCTCTTTTTGGCCATCCTAGAGGACTTGCTAAGCATCCGCTTTTTTGCCCGTAATATACCATTGGTCCATTAATTTACGGTGCCCACCAGCGCACCAGAGGGCACTGGATGGACCAAAGCCCCTCACAACTGGCTGTCTAGCCGCATTGCTCGCGTGTACTAACCACTGTCTCGGCTTAGCAATATACATAGTGCCTCCTTCCCAACAGGACAATGCCTGACATACAGCTGGTTAATCCCACCAGACCGAGAGAGCCACACTGCTTACCCAAAGGGCTTGAAACCTTGTGGATTAGCCTCACTGATTTTGGCAACTACTCTCGACGTGGCGGTCTCCTTTTGTACAACCCGAGTAGAGTCGACATATTGCACACGGAGGTGCGCAGAATAGGTCCGTAAAAACAGATGTCACAGATCAACTCTCCGTTCCGTACGTCTACCAAAGTCATAGAAAAACGTAAGCATCCTAGAACCAAGCTATTTGCGCCCTTCGTGACTGACGAACCACGTAAGTCTGGAACTGACTTACCTACCTTAAACGCCATCTGCTGCTAGGCTGTGACGTAGGCAAAATAAAGCTTCAGTAGCGGATATTTTTGTTATTTAGTACCAACTGAATTATGCGAGTTAACCTGGTGTTTTGATGTAGTACAATCTTAAAACCAGGTAGCCCGTCTAGCTGTTTTGCACAAGAGCATACCCCGTTGGAAACCGTAGTGCAATAGTAATGACTCCTCTCCCCAAACCTCCGGACACGGTTTGCTAAATTCAGCATATAGACTTGGCATTTCCGTGATTCCTTATTTCCCTTGTTCAACTTGTAATGCACCAGCATCACACGAACACCGACCTAGGAATTGATGCAGATAGGAGTCGAACGATTTCAACAACGATATGCGGGTCAACTTAAAGTGGTTCCCAGAGCTCGTAGCACGTCCTAATCCCGGCTTTGGCCACTCCACTAATCAACACTGTACGGCACAACCAGTGCTGATTTCGATTCCATTGCCAAATTGTATTTGCAATAAATATGCGAAAGGAATTTTGGATGCGACCCGCTCTCGGCACTTCTCACTCCACTATCGGCTTCGCACTAGTATTCACTGGTCAGGTAGCGGAAAATGGGACCAAGCATTTTTTTCAGCCAATTGCCTCCATAGTGCAGTCATATGGTTGGCGACATCCGGTTTCGGGTTTGCCTGTCACTGCGGCCTCCATAGGACAGCCACAGGACGCCTGCACCTACAGAGGGACTATGAGTGGCTTGCCCTGCACCACCCACAACTTCATCCACACATCCCATATCCAGTGTAAACCCGAGAGAATAAGACCGGGAGGCATGTGGATGGGAGCTACGTTTCAGCAATGGAGCCGACGCACAGCATGCACAGCAGCAGCGTTCTGCTCCACCTAATTTGGGAATAATACCAGATGTATACAAGGCGATGGTTGGGCCGTATTTTGCTCCACACTGGATGCATGGAACTACTCTTTAAGCCTAGTACAGTCATGAGGACCGTGCACGCGTCCCTGTCTGGCAACGATTAGCAGTCTCCTGGACCCAGCAAACGAGGTTGAGGTGTTAAACAGGTAGGCACCTTGTCAGCATTCACATCAAGAGTAGCCATACCGGGGATATTAAACAACCAACCTAGCATTTGTAAAAAAAAATCGCAAAATAAACAGGGCATATGCAGCAGAATAACAGAACTGAGCGAAGTAAATGAAATGGATGTTGGAGAGGTGAAATGGTCAAGTACTTGAATGCACTTTGGCAGCGCAAATCAAGGGCTCGTTAGGCATGCGAACAGGAAGGCTAACTCAGTGAGTCTCGCCCGCGTTGGGGGGGCGAACTAAATACGCAGTCATATGCGTAGGCGTCGTGTGAGACTTGCTATGGTTCCTGAGCCGCGACATGTGAGAAAAGTTTTCGAGGGTCAAACTACTGAGGCAGTCGGAGACGTCAAGCCCGGATGCGTCTACGTGTCGGCAAGGCCGTCTGAGCGGCAGACATCAAACGTTCTTTGCATACGGGGGTCGAAGTTTACGGTCAAAATGCCAGTGTGGTGGCGTATGTTTAACTTATGAATATGACCATGAATAACACTAATAAATCCTCTCGGGTCAGTCAAGTTGTCTCTTCTGATTTTCCCCGGCTGGGTTGGACGGGGCACCGGGCAGTGAGCAGACACAGGTCAACGTTACGACTACGAGCGTTTAAGACAGTGGAACAATGCTTTTATACGGGTAAAAAAACTAATGCCTAACCGGTCCCGTAGGATGGCTATGGTGAAAATTCAAAATATAAAAAAATTGTTAGCAAAATTGGGTTTACACCAGTGAACTCACTGTAGTGTACGTACTATCAACTGTAAGTCCAAGGTAAATCCATAAGTACTGACGGCAAATAGCATGGTGAAAATCGTGTCTCCTTCTGGTGTAAACATACAGGAGGGGGAAAACGTGAAACGAAATCTGGGATTTGACCGCCAGTGAAGCCACTTACAGGCACTTGTGTTTATCCATGTGTATTGGGTCATGTAAGATGGTGCAGTGAAATAAGTGCCCGATCAACTCGGGCTTTGAACTCTGCCAGCGTGAGGGCACAGGTTCTGGTAGGGCATTCCCCGTCCGGCAAACGCGTACGGAAAAGAAATTCCGACGGCATTCCAAACGACCGTGCTGCTCTGGCATACTTTTATCCAGAATATGTATATGTAAGAATATGTATATGTAAGCTGGTGTAGCTCAACTGCAGTGAAGAGATATGCTGAAAACAACATCAACTGTAGTCATCCACATTCTTAAGAAACTGTCATGTTCCTTTGTAAGCAACTGCAAACTAGTGCTTACCTCAAACAAGATGCATCCAGCCGGCGCGGACACATCAAATTGCGTGCTGTTTGCGTTTGTGGCTGATCCCAGTCAAAAAAACATGCACCATGAAATACCAGCGTGGCTTTGAACCTAGACGCTCTTGGGCAGGGTTATGTACGCGCAGAACAAAGAGCATGGGGTACTGGCCACGTTCGACAAACACCCCGCAGTGAACAGCTACACTGAAGCCACAACTGTGGCAAGACGCACGTGGTACCTCTGGACCTGGCAGCGGTTGAGCATTCCGTACATGGTTCTCAGCCATCCTCCCGTCTGCATGAGATTAGCGATGCGCGCAGTATCTCAGATCTTTGAGAATTGGGGTGTGCCATTGTGGTCTGCAATGAAATGGTGGGGGCAAGTGCCTGAGGCACGGCAATGCTGAAGCAGGAATAAAGTGGTGAAGAGGGTCGGATCCCTAAACCAGATAAAGAACGCCAACACAAAGAACCGAAAGCCGCTTCTAACATTTGATAGCCGCCGCATGAAGTGGACCGGTAAGATCGCTAGCATCCATAGTGCGAATGGACATAAGGTGATGGCTAACTGCAGCTACCGCGGGGAGGCGGAAGACAGTAGTTGCCCGGAGGACAGAAAGACCACCAAAATGGAAGCGGTTGGAATGGGAAACGGGCAAAATGAGTGGGAGCAGACGGAGCAACACTGGCCTGACGAAACGAGACGAAAACGGGGCACGAGCGGCTCCCGGTAGTGAGCCTGAACCACGTAAAATTGGGAAAGTATTTGTCGAGAACGTAATAAATCGGACAAAACCGCCGTTATTGCATCCTTCCGGAACAACTACAAGTAGAGCAATAAATCCACGTTCAAGCAAAGCACGAGCTATCGAACGACTCCGGATCGATCGGAATGGAACGCATGGAACCAGATGTACGGGGGAGAAATGGATATAGAATAATTGTTCCCGTACCTCAAAGAGTGCATATACGTATCGCGAGCGGAATCCAGGTGAGATGGTGTAACGGGGGAAGGAAACGTGACTCGTTAATATACGCCTGTGTGAGTGGTGACATAGCATGTGATCGCGCCAATACAGATTTTCATTGTCTCGTTGTTTTCGCTACAACGGGACTTAACGCACTTGTGAACTGCGGCACAATCTGCATAGATGTCGTTATGGTTACAGCGTACTGTTTGCACGTTATCAAGCTGCGTAACTCATCAGCCCGCTCTGTTGTCTCCTTAGTTTTTGTTAAACTTTGGACAAGAATTGCGCTTGAGGACAAGCGTAGTCAAGTACAGCCTATGCTAACCCTGCTCGAGGTGCTTTCAGCTGATCGCAGTCAAGGGACATATGGTTGTTCTCCGTGGATAGTGTATGCGCAAGTGCCACGACGACTTCTTCGGTTGAAT